AGGCCGTGTCCCGACAGACCGGCAGCGAGTATTTTGCTCTAGTTTTTGGAGGAAACATGGCTAGTTTATTGTATGTAGTACTTGATAGATATCTCGTTTTGTGATTAATTTTTGTGCATATTGAGATTGGATATACTTATTAGTATGAACGTGTAGTGTTAAAGTGGGGATAGTGGAATTTATTATCCAACTACACTCTCAATTGGATTAGTTAAATATCGATAGACGGTAAAGGTTGATGGAGGAATATCGGAATGATATATAAATAGAAAAGAGCAGAAAATAAATAATTGCATTTAAGAGTGAGATTGTTAGTGGGTCTTCGTTTAAAAACCGCATGTTTTGCGGACTTAATTGACCTAGTTAACCGCAGTTCACAACCCCTGAAACCAAATTCGGATGGTGGGATAAAGCCAACGTCTGACCCGGACTGCCAAAACACAATTTAGGTGGTTCCCCCCGCTTGCCGTGAGAGACGATTCTGTAAACGTGGGTACGTGTGTCAGTTGAGCTTCAATAGGTCAAGAAAAGTAAAAAAAGAATTATTATTATTATTATATATATTACTATAAACGAATCGCTATATTAACAAACCCCCAATAAAGCAAAATCGTTTAAATGTAAACAATAGTTAAAGCTGTGGAACTTCTTTCAATAAGAAAAGAGTGTAAATTATATTAAAAAAAAAACACTCATTGTTTTGCAATCCTTCACCGTAAATTAACTGGAAATAATTATAGATATTCTTTGTTTACTTAATTTTTGTATTTTTTCCCATACATTCCTACGCTTCCTGTTCCTTAATTCATTGTTTTTCTCAACTTCAGGTTTCTTTTTATAATCAATACAGACATTGTTATATTTAGTTAAGTCTCTCACTACGAAGGTTAAATATTGACTTGTAAATGACGTGCTAATTAACTATTTTTCTCTGATAGTTGAAAAGACAGGATCTCCTATTCAAAAAAGACAGGAAACATAATTAATATATGTTTATATGATATTATTTTATTGCATTTATCTATATATATNTAAATATATATAAAGCGTTAATATTTGAATATTAAATCTTAAATATTGATAGATGAATTGCGCAATGATGTTGCTAGTGCTAGTAATCATTTTACATCCCGCGTGTTTTTGAGCCAAAATGTTTGGCTGGCTCGAGTAGGTTTTTCGATAATATTGCTTTTTAATTGTACAAGATTTTTACTTTTATTCTATATTCATTGCGTTAAGTTGTATATACTGAAATAGTACAACTTTTATGTGAGTCACATAATGTTGACATATAGAAAATTAATTGATCGTTAATAGGTTTCTAATTGGTCATATTATTTGGTGTACCGCTTTGGCTGTGAACCCTGGGGCGAAAAGATCACCTAAAGGTCAAAGGTTCCAATCCCACCCTTTTGGCCTTTTCTGATTTGACTTAATACCTGTAATTAATGTATTGTACAGTTGTGTCTAATGCGAATTATCGTAAAGTACTAATAATTATTATTAATTTTTTTTATTATTTGTGTAATTTCTGGCACCGTACTAGATAAGACTTTGAAGAAGAAATTTACAATAAACTTTTGATTAAATTGAAAAAAGAAATAAAACTATTCAAACAACAATCATATGAAACACATTTAAAGAGCTTGGCAACCGAGGATGTGATGTCTCAGCACCGCTCATGAATGATGATGAAACATATTCCTTTAGATCTGCCACCTAAACCATTTGTGCCAAAACACGTATCTTAAATAAGGGGGCTTTCGAAAAAAAAAAAAAAAAAAAAAAAAATCTGGTGATACAACAAAGAGCTGAAGCCCTTCAAGAACTTACCGTTAAAAAGCTGTCATATTTCTGACTTCTTAATTGTATGCTATATTAAGAACTTCAACTATTCCATACAATGGAAACTCTTCCACGGGGTGTCCCACTTCCTTCTGACGAAACACAGGGAATCGATTGGACAAAAAAATGCCCATGAGAAAATTTTCGGAAAGTTCTCTATTTTGAAGATATTCGTCAATTTAGGTTTTTTCAACTTTTCACTACCTTACCACATAAAAAAGCTTACAACTTCCAAAATGTTGAGACTACAACAAATCCAATTACACCATTTGAAAGAACGCTAAATTTGCTGTAAGATACTTCTATTTGCAATAATCTGAATGACATAAAATGTTAGCCAATATCAGTTGGAACATGTCAAAATTACAAAATTTAAAATTTTGGTCATGATTGCACGTTCTACTGAGGTTTCAAAAAATACCTATAACTTGTCAAATTTCACAAAAACTTCATCTAATATGCTTTACGTTAATATATTCAGGTTTTTAGATGACGTTCTAGTAGAGTTTAAAAATAACAATTGAATGTTCGAAAACGTGAGCTAAGGTAAATTTGAAGGGGGGGTAGAAATAAATCAAGTAGAACTCGCTTTGTAAAATAAAACTGACACTTGTTTGACCGGTTGAATTAAAAAGGCTGGATGGGATCGAAGTTTAACTGATATTGGCTAACATATATTAAAATGGTCCCAAAGCCAGATAAAAATTTAAACTCTCATCTTACCCAATTAGTTTGTCTTAGCCCGCTTCCTCTAAATCATTGGAAAAATTAATTCACAAAGAATTATCTATATTGTTACTTCCAACAATATTTTTCAAGATCATCAATTTGACTTGACTCTTTATTCCACAACTCATCAACTTGTCAGAGTTACAGATTACTTACCTACCTAATATATCAAACACGAGACTAGAGGGTTACCATTTTTACCCCAGGCCTATTATCTGATTAGACAATCATACCTCAAGAGGAGATTTTTCGCGGTAAACCAGGGATCGGATACTTCTGAAATGAAAGAAGTGCTTTCTGGGTGCCACAGAGGTCAATATTCGCTCGGCTGTTGTAGAAAATTTTTACTTATGACATGCCGACAAATGAGAATATACTTACCGATATGCAGATGACACCGCCATATTAACAAGTCACCCCATTTCTATAAGCTTCCCCTATGTTACAAAACCACATGACAACAATGAAAAACAGAACGATCTTCGAAAAATAAAGTTTTACACTTCAAAGCAACAACATATTAACTTCACACTTCTCCGTGAAACGTCCTAGCATATACCTATACAACGAACGTATTCCTCAATCCCACAAAGTTACCTATTTAGGACTTACATTTGATAGAAGATGGAATCCGCACACACGATTAAAAAACGACACTTTAACACTAGCACACTTTAACGACACGATTTAAAACTAATTATTCAGAAATCGTGAGATGCCGTCTGGTGTGATGTAGGTTTCAGAAAAACATTTTCTTTATCGTGCCAACGTTTCGATCTTTATTGAGATCATCTTCAGGGCCTGGGGTTTACAAACATTGTTTACATATAACAATTACATTTTGGATGTGGAAAAGTGAATTTATACAATGCAAAATATATTTTTTACATATTCAATCAAAGTATTTCTACTCACTCAAAGTGTTTTTATCTTCTGTGTAATTGTGCCATTCTTGCGTGTCGTGTCGAGAGTGCCAGTGAGATTTTGCTATTTTGTGTATATATACGTTGGATTTTGAAGGGGTGGGGAAGGATGTCGGTGTAGAAAAGACATTTTTGTATAAGGCGTCGGCTTCTTTCAGGTGAAAAGAGCCGACGAAGGGAAAAAATGTGTTTGTAATGTTCAGCCAGATTATCCTTTCAGGATTATATAGAAAGGGATAAATAGGAAAAGGAAAGCTAAATTGTTGGGAAATTAGACTATGTGAAAAATATTTGATGGTTAGGGATGGTTAGGGAATTATAGGTATGTTATCTGTATTGAATTTGATTAATGATATTGGCGTAGCTGCGACTGATTTTACATATATCTCTTCTGTAATTGATGCTGTGTTTATCTCAGTTGATATAAACCATTTCTAAGAAATTACGTTTATGTTTGTTTTGTTCTGTGTGTAATATTTTTGGATTTTTGAAGTCGAAATTGAGTTGGTGTTCAAAATGATCAAAGTATAAAGATAGAAACGTTGGCACGATAAAGAAAATATTTTTCTGAAACCTACATCACACCAGACCGCATCTCACGATTTCTGAATAATTATCGATTAACGGTCACTAATCACCACACACGATTTAAAACGTTTTATTACCACTGAACTAACGATCAAAGTTCCATTAAAAGCAAAACGTTTGACATACACATGCATTCTCAAACATATATGAATGTACAGGTGCCAAGTTTTCGGGTCGGCCAAATATTCCAATATTCAAAGATTACAAAGTTTTTAATCAAAGATGGTACGACTAATTGTTTCTGCCCCTTCTTGTGTAAACAATAACACACTTCACAGAAATCTTCACACGTCAGCTATTTTTTTGTCCATCAAAACCTATTACAAAAGTTTTCACAGTAAATTGCGGGATCACCCAGATCACACTATCGCGCAAATATAATTATTCCATGCCCAACTATTATTTCATCGACTGCTGTAAAGAATATGGATAAGAACGACTTAAATTACTAATCCAGACCGGCTCCCATGTCAGATAATACGTATACAGTTGTAGATATAAATACATGAAGTAAAGATTAATATTTCTGTAAATACGAGCAACCTTTGTACCTAAGGTCTTGGTTGAGATGAAAAAGTTAGTGCCACGAGCGAGTTTCGAACACATGACCTTCGGCTCAATACGCCGCTACTCTAACCACTTGAGCTATCGTGACTTCAGCAGTGGCGTATAGAGCCGTAAGTCGTGGGTTTGAATTTCGCTCGTGACACTAACTTTTTCATCTCAACCAAGAATTTAGATGCAAAGTATAAGTAATTAAAATAATTAATAGATCAATTATGGCTACTAAAGTGGTGGATTGATTTATACTATAATTTCAAGTTCTTAATTATTACAATAGTGTAATGAAATTAATACTATTGACTATTATGATTTTTTTTTAAATTGTTCTTAAATTTGTAAATGTTTACGAAGGTATAAATCCAGACATGTCATCAAACGAAAGCGCTGAGGAAGAGCCAAGTCCGAGAAGCCCGCGACGGGAAGCAGGAGGCTCGGCTCGAAGGAATCTCGACCATCTCAACGATGGATTTTTCGAAGAGAGCACTTCCTCCTCCGAAGACGACGGTATCGATTTCAAGGCAGATTCGTTGGACTTTTCGTGCTCAGGCAGCGACGACGATAACGGCAAGTAAACACCACTACTACCTCTCAAATAAGTTTTATTTGCTGAACTTTCTTTACCTAGGGTAAAATAATAAATACACACGGACTTACTTATTCCCCCCCCCAAAAAAAAAACCCCACCGTTATTCAATCATTCTTTATTTTTTAACGTTACCTAGAAGTATTAGTATACAGTGGTTTTAAAGGTTATGAAAAAGCCCATAGTTTTTAAAATAATAAATAAACACTGACTTCCTTATCAAAAAAAATTATTATTATTTATAAATATTATTATTATTAATTATTCATCATAGAACAATACGCCCAATAAATTCGTTCCGAGAATATAGACTTTAAAAAAAATCATTTTATAGTTTTAAATAAAATATTATTGGGTTGTCCGGAAAATAATGCAGGATTTTGGTATTAAACAAAAAAAAAGAAACTAGTTACTTTAAAGCAATGTTCTTTAATCAAAATAATTTCNCATACAAATGAGTAATCCTGTAAACGTAAACAGAATATTTTATATAGATTTTTTTTAATGAAAACTTAAAATCCTGCATTATTTTCCGGACAACCCAATACAATGGTGCTGACTAACACGAGTTAATATAAACGTCGGATCACATTACTTACAAGAAACGTGATTTCGGGTACATTTCAATTATTGACCAGAAAAAAATACATATTTAAGTAGAATGATAAATCAATTTATTTTGGTTGTACACGTGTTACGCGTCCGAACAAAAGTAACAAAGTAAAGAGTGCAAATCTCTAAAAGTGAATTAGCTCACAAATAATAACAACGGAAAAACGACTGGAGACCAAAAAAAGAAAAAAAAAGGGCAAAAGGTAAAAAGTGATAAAACACCAACTGAAGTAAAACAGGCAATAAATAATTTATCAACGAGATAATTTAAATGGAAAACGAAAAAGTACAACCAAACACATGTAAATAAGACAAACTTGTAATGAACAATGAAAGCAAAATGTCAAAAGGAAAATTTATGAATAAAGTTACAAACAAAACAAATAAGCCCTTCAGGGATAAAATGTAGAAGCGCTCAACTAAACGATCGAAAAAGTATGTAACTGAACGGTAAACATAATAATGAGCACTTTCAACACGACACACCAGAATGGCACAATTACGCAGAAAACAATCACTTTGAGCCCTGAAGATGATCTCAATAAAGATCGAAACGTTAGCACGATAAAGAAAATGCTTTTCTAAAACCTACGTCAAACCGGACCGCATCTCACGTTCTCATTGACTAACGGTCACTAATCAACGCGCACGCACGCACGCACGCACGCGCACACACACACACACACACACACACACACACACACACGCACGCACACGGTAAACATAATCACTAGCAATTCCCACCGCCGACCCTAGCCTTTTTTTCCACGCTCATCTTCCCCAAAAGCATAATAAAAATATACAATTTCTGCTGATAATAAATGAATAAAAATAAAGAAATGGGCTGAGAATATACTAACGAATATCATTGAAATAACGTGGGCCAATGAATCATCGTCAAAGACAAAAGATGACAAAAAAGAAAAGCCAAATAACAAAAAACGTACAAGTGATAAATTAACGATGAAATAAACCAAGCAAATTAAATAAAATATGTAAAAGTGATGAATAAAAACAGGCAAAAATCTACCAGTGAAAAAATAACAAATGAACTATACCAAAGCATGCATAACATGCCAGATGAAAATGGGAAAATAAGCAAATTCCTAATAAAAGACAAGCTAACAAACGAAGTGAAAAATTCAACATGGGCAAATCAATAAAACGCCAACCGTGCAACCTACTACTAACTAAGTTATAGGTAAAAATAAACGAACCAGGAAGAAAACATTAAAGGGCAGAAAATATACAAATCGATCACGCAACAAGCTAAAAACAAGCAACATAACAAACAACCACGCGATGAACAAGCAAGTGTATATGGAACGAATAAGTGAAAAACAAAATAACAAATGTGTATGATTTTATGCCAGGCCGATGGTTCGCTGTGTATCTGTGCAAAGGTGTGAAACCTTCGTATATTTTCTGTGAAAGATGAAAAAACGTGACTAACTGCATGAAATTTTATTTTTATTATTCATGAAAATATTCAATGGAAGAGATAATGTTTCTTGCAAGAATACTGCATTTTTTGGATTCCTCTATATATCCCCTCTGGGCTCAATCCGTCATGGAGGGTGAAAATTCCATATCTAAATTCCTAAAAATTGTTTGGTTGGGTAATAACAGTATTTCTGACATATCAGCAAATGATACTAAAATGTAATATTCTTCAAACTTTCATATTACCGAAAGAATGAAAAAGATTACGGTTCTACAATAGAAAACAAATTGGATATGAATGAAATTATATAAATATTGCCAAGAATTTACAGTAAACAATCAGTTTTCTAACATTAGTAATACCATCGATCTAGAAAATGACGTTTCTTATGAAATAAAAAAGCTCTCCCTATGGCAAAACATGCGCATTTATCACGATATAACTCTTTTAACAACAATTTCTCGCATAATTCAACATTTTCAAAAGTTCTTGTTGCATTCAACACCTACTTGAATTGAAAAACGTGTCGAGCATGAAAGATATGCCACGTATTGCGTGCAACGTCTTTCCATCCAGTAAGAGCGACAGCTCTAGCTACATCTCCACTTAAATTAGTCTATCAAAATGTTAATTAAAACAATATTAAAAATAAAAAGGTGCAAAATAATTTGGTTAAATTAATTTGACTTTTGTTTACTCTTTAATATTTATTGTTTTTGAAAATGATTATAATTGAAATTCATGTCAACGGAAAACAAAATCAGATCCAATGTTCACATTTATTAACATAATGTAGAAAATTGAATATTCCGTTTGTTTTGATTTTTCGTAATAAAACGTTATCATTTCGAAATCAATGAAAACTCAATATTTATTATATAATTCTAAAAGCCAAGCGATGAAAGAATGACAAATTTGAATGTAGAACATTTCCCAAACTTACTAAGAGATGTTAACACATAACGCACATCGCTAGTTTAATTAGAAGCGCTTCAAAAGACAAATTTTGAAAATATTTTTGTTGTAGTTAGTTCTTTTGGATTAAGAGCTTAAGGAGATAACGCAAAAAAGGAAAAACTTCAGCATTAATTTTGGGAAGAACAGTTTTGTTTGAAGCTTCCGCAAATCACCAAATTACTTATAACAATTAGCAATTCCGTAAAGAAAATTGTTAATAAAAGAATTGTTAAGAAAACAGAGTTTCTGAAAAAAATTGTTATGATGTTTCAAATCTTGCAAGTTAAAAATGGTTCAAAATGATGACAGTCGAACAACAACGTACATAAGATTGTAAAATTAGAAAAAATTGCAATTTTCTTTATTATAATGTTATTCGTTTATATTTTTTATATTCCAGGCAATTTTTATCAATTTAAGAATATTTGACATCACTACATTTTCACTCTTTTATATTATATTTGACACAAATAAATTATTTGTTGATCAAGGATTGTTCAAGATATTTAACAATTTTATTCGTGTAATTTAAAATCACGACGTTATCAATGTTCCTGTCGTATCTCATAAGCACGTACACGAAAATGCATAAATGTTAATCAAGAAACGATAACACCTCAAAAATCGTTTACATGGCGTACGCGATTTGGCACGCCCTTGGGGTGAGAAGATGGTGATTCTGCCAACTTAATCTGGACCGATTACTTCAGTGATTACTGACGTCATTGACAGGTTCTCAGTCGATCCTCGCGTTGTGCTCTTGCTGGGGAGATTACACGAAGTGGAATATTTCGGCAAAACGGTAGTTGTTGTATTCGATAAGGTCTGGAAGTAATGCAAAGGCGGACGATGCAGCTAAGGCCTGGATGCCCCAACCAACAGACAACCACTCCGATCTGACACTAAAACTGCAACAAAACATGATTAAAAGAAAGTGGCAGCTTGGTGGCCGGGTCGGCTAAGAAACTTTCACGAATCAAGAGCATTGTCAATAGGTGGAATATCTAAATCATAGTAGGGTCATCCACTCCCGATTAATAATAAGCCATGCGAAGTTGAAATCCGCCACTCACTTTTGTGTCAAAGGCCGCGTATGTGTTCAAAGGTAGTGAAGGGTTGTTCGATATGTCCCACCTAATTGAAGGTGTAACTCCTTGGCGCATAGGGAGCGTGTAGGAATGCCACCCAATATGAGACTTATGCTTGAGCATGGCAGTAAGTATCTTGATCCCACGTTCCGTTTTTGGAGGAAACAAATTTGTTTTATTGCATGTAGAGATAGTAGTTTTGTGTCCCAAGCGAGTGTTGAAAATGAATGTATTTATTGGTGTGAATGTGTAATGTGGGAGAGTAGATTGCGCAATGTTGTGCATCTCATTGACCCCTAATTATGTTAGTGAGTGTAGAGGGTGAGGTTGAGGAATATCAGAGTTCGTTTGGAAAAATGACCGGGCAATAAATTTAAAAGTGCCAAAAGCACAGGAAACGCGGTGTGATGCGGAAGAAAAACGTTAACGAAACTTACGTACATGTTTACAATTCGCTGGAATTGTAACGATTGTCTATTGCATCGACTAACGAGTCGTTAAATTTCATTGCTACTCGTTAGTTCACTTTACGACACATTTTTCACACCCATTTGTTGCCTGAAATAAAGCACAAACTGCCTGCACTAGCAACCAGTAAAGGTGTAGTCTTTCACCAAGAAAACGCCTTCCCCCACGGTTCTTGGAGGACCAAACAACTTAACTAATCTGAATTGGGAAATTTCATCACACCCGTCATACTCTACGAGCATTTAACCTTGCGACTTATTTCGGTCATAACAATTTTTTTAAATGGCCAAAAGTTTGAAAGTTTCGAAAAATTTTAAAAGTTCACGGACACAAAAGATGGGTATTTTTGTGCAAAGGAAATAGACATCCTACCTGAGAGATGGCAAAAATTAATTGCAAACAATGGAAAATACATCTGCGAATAGTTAAAAACATACCAGGTAAAATAAAAATTTATACAGTAAAAAAGTCATTAATTTCTTGCTAACCCAATATATCGTGATCATTGATCACTTGATTGATGATTTGATCATTGATCGTTCATTAAAATTGAATCATTGATCCAATAATTTTATGTTCAAACTAATTTCTTTTTCTCCCAATACATTGAATTTATCTTGGCTAACTGCCTCAATTCGTCCATGAATTTTGGGGTCAAGATCGCGGATGTCAATAAATTATATTATGTAATGTTCAAGATTGTATGGTAGCTATTAAAAATGAGGAAATTTTGCCAGGGATAATTTCATAATCTGAATAAATCAAGTACAAATTTGTCGATTTCTGCTCGTTTCTACAGCCTGATAAATTTTGTAACGAAAGTTTTCTTCCGTTGAATTTCATATAATTTTTAAACATTTATAAAATTTTCTAAAAAAGATCAAATTATAATTCGAGTGGTTGGTTACTTAATCGTTAATGGAAAGGATCTCGAAAATTAAGTCTTTTAGAAGATTTTCCAGGGAAAACGCCCTTTATATGTTTAAGTGTTCCTCTTCAGGGATTTCATTACTTAAATGAAAGCCTCTCTAAGCTAAGAGAATATTCTGTCTAGAATGTATTTTATGTCTCTTTTTCAGTCAGTGAAATATTTAGGAAGAATCAAAATCCTTATCACTTATTAAACCTATCATTATAACTGTTTTTCCTTCTATTGGTACCATTCCCACATTGATTATTTTAAAGTCAGATACTTAATTTCAATTTCAAATTCAATTTCCTTTAAGTGAGGCATCATCCTACGTAATAAAGTAAAAAGGAATCGTTTTTAAGAAAAAGGCTTTTCTTGTTACAATTTATCTGCGCTCAAGGCTACGACTTTCAGTTTTAACGAATATCCTTCATTTTTTGGAATATTGTCAGGTGATAATTCGAGCTGGAAATAATAAGTTGTAAAAGAGATGATGATGATGAAGAAGAGAAGAAGATCAACAAGCCAACCATCATATTCTTCACATTGTTTTTTTGTTATTTTTAAGTGAATACATACATATATTATTTAATCGTAATTACATAAAAGGTCTTGATTTTTGTTTTGATTTTTGTCGGGCTAATTTTTAACCGGTAAATTTTTTACAGAATCTGACAGTAAATTAAGAAATGAGGAGGATACAAATACATACGACAAAAACCTGATGGACAAACTTTCTTCAAAACAGTTAATCACATCAGATGTTGAAGATGATGAAGAGGTTACTTCACGAGTAAAGGAATACATGAAAAAAATGAGAGCTGAAGTGAGTTGTTTGGAATTGTAAATTTATAAATATGAATAATATTAAGAGATTTATTACTTTTTGATAGGAAAAGACTATGTTGAATAAATTGAACGATGGCAGTGCCTCTTCGGAAGAAGTCAGCAAAAACCGTATGAACAAAGACGCAATTCTAAAGAAGTTCGGGTACAAGGACCAACTCGAAAAATTGAAAAATGAAAGCTTTTTCGACAGGTACGATTCTTCGGACTCCTCTGGAACGGAGGACGACTCGGATTTCGTCGCTCTCGCGGAAACAATGGAAAAAATGAACACGGGAATGACGACTGGTAGCAAGCCGTCCACGCTCAAATCGAGCATGAAGAAGACCACCAAACCGGCCAATTCCCGGGAGATGGACATCAGGCAGAAAATCGCTGAAATGAAGAAAATGATAGAAAGTCCGAACGACGAACTCGACGAGAAAATTTTAAAATCGAAACAAAAAGTGTCAGATTGGATGAAAGACGAAACTACGAAATCCGCGGCGTTGAAAGAGAAATTTATGAGCAGCAAGAAAATAGTGGAGGAAACTCTTAAAAAAGATCTTTCCGCGAGAAAACCGAGCAAACTCTCCGATGTAAAAAGCAGCACGAAAGCTGTGAACTCACGATACTCCCTTCCTCCGGTCAAGCCCACTAAACCTTTTGGCGATACGCTCAAGTCGACAAAAAAGGATGACATTCTCCAACATATGTACGACGCAGGTGCGCCTTCCAAGTTGAAATCTCAGAACCCAGAAAAACCGCCGATACCGAAAAAGAAGATCGCCGCCGTGTCGAAGGTGGACACCGGCTTGCCGGCCAGGCTGCTCCAGACAAAACTCGAAGCTAGCAAGATCATGGGAAAAATCGAAACTCCAAATCATGACGTTCCGTCGCCGACTATGAACAGATTGGCGGCGAGGAAACCCGTACTGAAGAAGCCGACGATCAAAAAAACAGCCGCCACCTGAATTAAATGCGTTAGATGAGTGAGATTCGGCCAGAACAAAATTGTACGACTTACTGGAAAAAGCCCAACTTTGAAATTAAACTTCCAACGGTCTTTCTATATTTCTTTCGTTATATTCATATTACATATTTAATATCGTTTTATTAGAATAAGTTGCCAAATATGGCACTTTGACATTCTTAAACGTCCATTCTTACCTTACATTATTACATATCTTTCGCTCTTACAAAATTTTACAGGCAACATAATGGTCGAAAATGAATTTGATGCAATTTATTTTTAATTAACTTGTTTATTTATAAAAAAAAGTTTATTTTCGATTTAAATCAGTAGGAAATTGGAGAATGATTGTTGTTTGTCGGGTTTCTTATTAATGCTAAGCACTTTAAGAGAAAAAGTATTCCCATTTCTTACCTTAGCCCAGAAGTCCTAAGTTTTTAATTAATTTGATTGCTTTTCACCACTCTACGCTTATTTCCTCTGCAGTTGTGTTTGAATTTCCGACAATTTTCTCCCGCTGAGTTTCTTGTCGAAGGCTCTTCTTGAAAACTCTACGAAATAAAATGTAAGCCTGAAACTTTAGTGACATAACGGAGGTATGGAAAATGAAACTATACTGATGGACAAAATAAATGTTAATGAATTTAAGGTTACTCATATTTGGCATAAGAAAAATAGGTATGGTTGTAAAAATAAGAATTTAAAAAGAAAATGTTTATTACTTAAAGAAAAAAAGTAAATTAAAAAACAAATAAAACTGTAAAAATATTTTTTGGCCCCTTTAATATAGAATATTTCCACTTTTGGTAAGAATCCCTTCTGTTAAACTCCTTTACATTTCTTGGAAAAGATTTCTGATAAAACCCTGAGGAATTATTTCCCATTGGCCGTTTCCAACTCTTCTAGGGTGTTAGGACCTAGGTTTCGCGGTTGCTTAAGTTGGTGTTAGATTGGGTTCAAATCTGGTCTTCAAGCTGGCCACAACCAACACTCAATTCCAACCTCATTCAGGTAGTCATCCACTTGCTCTATAGGGCATTATCCATTAGCAAGAATGATCATGAAGCAAGAATGTTGGGGGGGGGATGGCATAACATGTTCTTCCTGTTTCGGTGCAGGCGTCCAAGGAAATGCCACCCCTTAACATGGAATGCAACCTGAGGAATCATACATCATGGGGCGTACCTTACTCCTGAGCGTCTGAATTATGCCGTATGAAATTATACCCATCTTATGATTTGAGGACTGCCCTCACTTCACCTGTAAAGAGAACTCGTCCCCAATCTGGGCCAATGCTATGGCAACTCGTCTCCAATGGCCAATTCACATATTTCCATGCAAATTGAAGCCTGGGCATTTTCTGAGTTGTGGTAGGAAGAGCTCCACGAGCCGGGTGCCGGCCCCTGAAGTATTTTCATTAAATCTTCTTTTTAAAGTCCTAGAGAAAATATAAATATTTTGTACTAGTCTTATCAGATTTCTTATATAATTAACCGTAATGCTGCACAATCGTAGAGCCTGATAACGAATGAATCTATAGGCTCTCTCGTCCGTAGACCGGGCTTTCTAGAGTGAAGTCCTGTTTCCCTGAACTACCGAAGAATTCTTCCTATTGCAGAGTGATTTACACTCAGTCTGCTGGCGACGTCCCGCTGGCTATATCCTTCCTTTCATCATACTTCTGACACTATCATACTCATTCAAATGGCTGACTGTAGCTATTCAAAAAGGTTTAAAAAATAATATCACCTGAAATCCACGAAGGAAAATTATTAATTAAAAGTGTTCTCTATAGGCGTAGCGGAAAAGAAAGGCATAAAGCTAATATTTGAGCAATTGGATTAATATAAGTATATATTATTAATATAAGTAAACAAAACATTGTTTGCTGTTTATTTTGACTACAATAGATCTTAATTACCTATACCTAATGTGATCTAGAGCGATAATTAATTTAATTTTAAAGTAAATAAATTGAGTGGTGCCTTAAATTTGTCCTTCAGTATCTTCTAACGTTAACCTCTTAAGACACTTTAATATAAAAATAGTTATAAAGATAACAAATATTAATTTGGAATTACGTCAATTCGAAGGCTTTGTACGTGTTCCTTTTATAACATATCTAAATTTGGGTTCATTTAACCTCCATGCTATAACTGGGAGGCAAAAAAGTGGCCATCCTAAATATTTTTAATTATCTCTTAGACAATTCTCCACTGATTATATTACAACAATATTTGGTCCGTTTTAATGGATTAAAGTTTAAAGTAAATAACAGTGATAAATCTCGCACCTGCGTTTAAAATTGGATCGTAGTGAATAAATTTTGAATAGTTAATCTCTTCTTTGTTAGTTTTTCTGAAAATCTTGTTTCTGGTGGTTTGATTTTTGGAGTTGTACCAAAAAAATGCGTAGGATAGTAAAATACAATTTATCCTTAAATTTCAGTCGTCAAATTCTTAGAGCTATTCTCGGGAACAAGACAAGGTAATAATGTAGGTAAGTACAACTCGAGGTAATAACAGCGTAATGAAGGAACATCCGATACACATGGCCCAAGGGATGACATTAATAGGATGTGTCAATTCAAGCTAAATTTCCGGACTGATGTAAGACTTACCAAACGGGAAGTACGGAAAGACCCCTTCGTTGAGGACGACACCAGAAGATTTTACTCTGTTGGATCGAGATAGCAAGAAGGTAGCGGGAGTGTTCGGTCCTGGAAACAAATACGGAGAACCCATGAGAAGGCTGTGCTACAAGTGTAAATTTGCATTGTAAATCATACCATTGATGTACGCAGTTCTAAGGGCGGATCCTGGTTTGTCATTGGGGGGGGGGTAAAAATTTAGAATTTGTAAGGCACAGGGTACCTAAAAACGTGCCAATCCAGAGAAAACTATACACATCGTTTTTCGGCCTAACGCAATACTTTCTCCTCCTTCAAAGGGAAAACTGAAAAAATAACTTGATTTAAAAGTTCCAAGACTTTAATTTCAAAAAGGAACATATTTTTCAAATATTTCAACTATGTTCTTCCGTCATAGTTTGCAATGTAAATGTTTTTAGTCACCAACATTAGCGAATATAAAAAATTAATCACCAACTTAGAGGTTAGCCCATCGAAAGATCGAATATGAAGATTAGAGGCAGAAATCAAAAAAGCACCAGAAGGACATGTCTAATCACAAAAATCATGGTCTGGAATGTAATTTTTTAGCATAAACATAAACGAACAAGAAAAACCCTCGTGCCAGTAAGGAGTAAGAACTTCTTTTGCGGAAACAATCCAGCGGTGCATATGTTATTATTTATTTTATAGAAAACGTAACATCATAAACATATTGCAATAAGATAAAAAATTAATCAAGTGTTTTTGTTTTTTATTAATAGTTGGGTTAAATTAAATTAGACCTAGACCACTGAAAATAGTGAAAATAAAACAATTGGTAGTTTACTACCTAATTTGAAATTTTATTTAAGTTATTTAATTAATTATTTTCTCGCGTTACTTCGTTATTATTTTTTGGTAACAATGGAAGATTTACGGGGAAAGACCTGTACTGGCTACACCACAGTTATTAATATATACACAATTTTATTAGGTTTCGTGGTGCGCTTGACCAAATAAATTCTTTTCAATTAATTAAGGTCTTGGTCGAGACAAAAAAGCCAATGTCACGAGTGGGATTCGAACCCACGACCTTCGGCTCAATTCGCCGCTGCTCTACCACTTGAGCTATCGTGACTTCCTTCCACTGGGACACCAACTCTCCATCTCAACCTACAACCGTTTGAAATTTCCTTCTTTTGCCATTTTCAAAAAATGAGGTGAAATTTCATGAAAATTGCAAAAAGGTGGAAAATTCAAACGGTTATAGGTTGAGATGGAAAGTCCGTGTCCGAGAGGATCGAAGTCACGATAGCTCAAGTGGTAGAGCAGCGTATTTATCCGAAGGTCGTGGGTTCGAATCCCGCTTGTGACACTGTCATTTTTTGTCTCAACAAAACCTTAATTAATTGAAAAGAATATACACAATTTTAAGGACTTTTGCTTTTTACCGGATTTCTTTGTTAATTTAAAAGAAATCTTGACATATTTGTAACAAAAAATTAAGAAACGCTTACGGTTTCATTGTATTATAAAAAAGAAATTAATTTAATCTTTTGAACGAAAGAAATTAGGTTTAAAAGTACTGCATTTGAGAAAAAATCCTGATTAAAAATGGGATTTTTTTCACATTATGGTAACTTTTAAAATACTGCTTGGATTTGAGCCAAACTGAGCATAAAAGTTACAGGAAGATTCCAAAAATGTGAAAATCCAATAATGAGGGGCGTAGCTAGAAGGAAGTGAAGTTAACAAACCGAGCTGGTTGTTGTGCGGGAGAAATCGCAAAAATGGTAAAAATTTTTATCTAATTTTTTACTATTGCCCCCCAGTCGATTTGGCTGAAAAACAATCCCAACCGTCCTTATAGGATTCTTTACCACCCTGCCAAATTTTATTGCAATGCGATCAAAAATATGGCCGCTAGAAAGCGCTAAATTTGTGAAAGAAATCTACTTAAAATTAAACATCAACTTACAAGTTTCTCGATACCAAATCGATCGAAGTAAAACAAAGCCAAAGCGTGACCAGTTAAATAGATTTAATTTAGGGAAGGAAAACTAAACTTGATTGAGGTATGAAAAATAAAGTTATTCTCTGCTGGGTCCCAGTACATGTAGGAGTAAAGGGAAATGAGAGACGAGTGCCCATGAAAGCAAGGGTGCTGCTATACTGTTTCTGACCACTGCTGTGGCACAGGAGTTCAAACTAACAATCAGTACCTTAGATAAAAACACAGAATGAAAATAAGAAACAGTGGAATTCACACTTTGAACACAAACACAACAACAAGTTTGGAAAAAAGCAACAGAATGGATTGCATGCAGCAAAACATCTACTAACAACACACATGCCTCGTTTCCACGCAGGTGGAAGTGTTTTGGGATGTACGATGTTACCGTACAAGAAATTCAACCTCTGAAACGAGGCCTACTAATTAAATTTCTTGATGAATTAGGTCTACCGGTGCCGCTATAGGTACAGAACGGGTGATACAGCTCTCAATGGGCGCAGTATATTACAACCTCGAATATTACATTCTACGTCTTGCATCATATTTAGAAAATAACGCTTTTCACCTTCAATGCTTTTCCCTGCTCATAAGTGTGGAATTGTTCCTTTAACACTTACACTTTCGTCGTCGAGTGTGAGTGTTTTATAAAATTAATTATACATTAATACAAAACAAATACATTAAACATGACGGTTTAACAATCTTTCTATTTTTTGTAACAAATGCGTACTCTTTTGATACCCTATTTTTCTGTAAATTCTTTCAAGATAGATGGGAAGAAGAGACCTTATCAAGTTACCCTTGGTTCTTTTCTTTGTTTTCATTCGTTGAGTATCAATTTCATTGAAAGGTCTTCACAGTTTCTATCCTCGACTCCCTTTCTGTAGGTTCTTTAAAGCAAGAGAGTGGAAAATTTAATTAGATTCCTTACTTTTCGTAATGCCTAAATACTTTCTATATGTATCCGTTCTCTACGAAACCGTGCAAATTGTGCAAAAATTCATTTCATTGAGGATAATTTATGGCACCATGGTTGTTAATAACCTTTTAACTTTGTGACTAACGTCCGTTTTAACCACCCCAATTAAAATTTTATAGATTCGTGTAAATGTGTTCTCAGGTTCCTCGTTGAAACGTGAAATGGAGTGTCTTCGTGATAAATCATCCTCCCAAGGGAGCAATGCGTCAAATTATGCCACAGGTCCAGGACATAAAAATAATAAACGAGGGTCTTTAAAAAAAAAAGAATGGTTAATTATTTATTGAGCATGTTGTGTGTCTTTTAGATATGTTGGAAAATAAAATGGGACATGTTTAGTTATAGATAAACTTTTGTTTGTTTGTTTTATATTTTTTGTAACGTTGATGCAGTTAAGTTCAAAATTTATTATTAAAGTCGTCATATCATGATAGCACTAAAAACAATTTAATGCGTTGATGTGTTTGCATATGACACATTGAATTTTCAATCGTTGATGACAAGATAATCCATTTTAAATTCTTTTAAATTGAATTTGCTTTTGACACAATGACATCGATGTTTCATGAGTCAAAGTTTACTTACAACTCTCACTATTTATAATTTTGACATGTTTAATCAAAAGTGAACCAACATTTTACAAATGTACTTGCAGGCAAACTGGGAAAAATTGTATGGATGAATAACATGAAATACAAACGTCAACTAAAAGTATTCCGGTTGATGTGGATGAAATATAAAAATACATACAATAATAAACCTGAGGGACGAGGCACAGTGTTGAATTAAAAAAATTAACAAACAATGAACTTGCAATTATTCATTCAAGGATGCAAATCAATTAAACATTAATTACTTTTATAACCGGCCAGTTTAATTTAGATTTATTCCAGAACTTCACTCCTAAATTAATATTTTATTTTCTTATTACCAACAAAAAAGTTAAAAAATAGGAATGATATAAATTTAAAATTGTCACAACAAAATTATTGAAAGAAGGTGGCAGCGTCAGTGGGTCGGGTCGCCACAGAAGCTTGCACGTATCAAAAGCACGATATCGATAGGCTCTCAGAGGACCCGACCTGTAGACACAAGCGAGGTTGACCCCCCACGGTAACTTTCCTTTGTGCCAAAGCCCGCGTATGTGACCGGCATGTAGTGAAAAGTTGCTGGGTGCGTCCTATGTGTGATAATTCCTCGTCCCTAGAGTGTGTTGAGAGTGAATATAATTATTGGAGTGATTGTATAGTGATGGCGGAATATTGAGTACCACATTGCCCCACAATTATGTTAGTTTATATAATAGGTGTAAAGTGTAATGGAGGAATATCGATAGATCCACCACCCTAACTGAGTGATACCTATCAGGATGCGACTTTTTTCTGCTTCCTTTGATGCATTCTGTTGTTTCTTTCTCAAGCTTGCTAGAAGGTTCTAGGATCGTTTATGTGCAATGCGTGAATTTCATTGTCGGGGGTGTAGTGATGGCGGAACATTGAGAACCTCATTGCCCTCAATTATGTTAGTTTATATAACAGGTGTAAAGTGTGATGGAGGAATATCGATAGATCCACCACCTAAGTGAGTGATTGTCCTGTTAGGATTCGACTTTTGTTCTGCTTCCTTTGATGCCTTCAGTTCTTTCTTTCCCGAGTTTGCTAGAAGGTTCTTGGATTGTTTATGTCCAATACGTGTGATGGCGGAATATTGAGTACCCCATCGCCCCTCAATTAGTTTAGTTGTATAATACGGGTATTCACGATGTTTATAAGATGTTAACTCGTGTTAACTTGAATATAGAAAAGTCCAGTAATATCTGCCCCCTTCTTTTCTTAGCATGTTAGACGTTAATTTTTCCGCAATGCTGCGCGTGGCGACTGGTAGAAACAAAAATAAAGCTGTAACAGTCCTTGAAAGTTTTTGTTAGTTTTGGTTTTGTTTTGTGTTAAATTGTAAGATGCCAGAGGTCAGTAAAAAGGAAAATTAATCAACTCTTCCATTCAAAATGCTATCTATGCACTCGAAAAGTACTAACAAATGACACGCTTCAAATAGTGTCGACAGACCTGCCTTGTATACTAACGTCTAACAGCCTACAACTTAGAGGACGTATCTACTATGAATGAGAGAATAGGGACAAATCAGAAATTAACAAAAGAAATGTATTAGTCAGATTTAATTAATGCGTATTTAAGAATAAAAATACGTGTAAACAAAAAACAGCTGTTAAATTCATGGCTGCCATGTTGGTTACCTACGCCATAACGGATAGCAATGTGACTACATTTTCGACCCAACATCTAACATTGGTCCTGGCCTTTTAGATCGAGCAATGTTAACTAGTCGATTCTTACAAGTCTACGTCATTATTTTTCTCGATCTAACAGGACCTAACAGAGTTAACAGGGTTAACAAAAGATCGTGCATACCCCTATTATCGTGATTGCATTAGCTTTGAAAACCTCGTTTAAAATCAATCATGATGATGTTAATCAAGTAGTCATCATTTTGTTTCCGAGAAAGACAAGCGGAATTTCGCGATGTATATAAATTCCATCACACTCGAAAGAGAGCCACTTCCATACGCATGAACGTTTACATCGGCTTGGGAATAGCTCTCCTTCTCCAGTCATTACCGTGGCCAATTTTCGTGTACCCATTCCAATCTGAT